GAATCTCAGCTTTGTTTCTGCGCGTAAGAATCATGTGTCCTCAGCAGCTAAAATCAGAATTCTTTGTAACAGTTAAGTGTTTACTAAAAGGATGACAATAATATTGCGGGTTTTTTTTTGGAATAAGGAAGAGGGAGGTCACGGTGAAAGTTATAAAGCTTGGAATAGTTTTGGAATTCTAAAATTGTTGATAAAAAATAATTTAATGCAGATGATCAAGAATGATTTTATTACTGCAGTTGATAATTTTACCATAAAAACATTTTCCAAGAGGGGAAGGGGGGTTCCCGTAAGATTTAAAAGTTGTACTTTAAAAGAAAAATGTATCTATTAGCTATTAAGCATCATTTACTGTACCTTTAAGCCTCTAGTCAACATAAAATTATTGTCTGGTCGGTTGTCAGGAGGTATTTTCGAAAGTTCAATAAAACATTAAAAAAAATATTTAAATATTTCATGGAAGGGCAGACTAGAATTTGTCAGAAAATGAAGACTAGATAACCTAGATAACACACACAAAAATAAGATTTTTTTAAGTTATGCATTTAAAGATCCAAAAGTAAAGTCTGTTGTCAAGGATTTTTGATAAAGAATTAAGGGGGAGTAAGTGAACGATGTGTCCTAATTTTCTATCTTTAAATATATTTCCTGAATAAAAATAAAATATGCCTAAACTTTAATTGAAAATGAGTGAAAAATGATTGAACGAAAAAAAAAATACCAGACTAAGAAATACACTTTTATTTAAATATCTGTAATAACACGAAGCTTTTAATTTTTGTGTTTCAAACAAATAGTAATGACTCGTTACATAGGTATTTCACTTAATCCATTTATTTCATTTTTTGATAAGTACTGTGAATTCTCAGTATTATTATATTAACATGTAGCCTTAATATAAAGAAAAAATCTAATCTAAAGCCAGATATATCAAACATTTTATATTTATTTTATACGTTTTCAGGAAAAAACAATCAACTCAAACACGCCTTGAACGTAAAATGTGTACTTGACTGTCTCTTTACGATAAGATAATTGCCCCGGCATTTTTAGACCCCCCCCCCCCCCCCCCCAAAAAAAAAATACTGTTGCCGGGGCAGAGATGCAAATGAATGCTTTTTAAGATCAATATTTTATCTTCTGGTGCATGTTTTTTTTTCAGTTGAATTTGTTGCATCTTAAAAACCCAGAATATTTGCACCTACCGAAATCGGCTGTTTTGTTAAATGTGCAAAAATTACAATATCTCGTAGCTTCATACTACCAATTGAGTATAAACAAGTATATAAGATGCAAAAAATCTTAAATTACACACCTACATTTATCTTTTAAAAGCCATAAAAACAGTTTTAAACAATCCAAATATACAAACTTTACAAAACTTGGTTTATTTCAACTGGTTATCAACCCGTTTCGCTCTAAGCTAACCTGTATCAATGGGTCGTGTGAGCTATTGCCTTGGCGTCCGTAATTAAAAAAAAAACTTTCTCTGAGATTGCTTGACCAAATGTTACTTAATGATATTTCCTGAGTGAATCTAGGAAAAACAATATTCATCAACAAATTAAACATGACCACTGTTTGTTAAAATATATTCGAGTTTTTAGTTTATATCGCAAAAGTTCAAGCAGTTAGCATGGTTAGAGCAAAACTTACCGAGTAAAAATATTCAACCGGCCAATGTCTATCTACCTTGCACTTTTCGGAAAATTCAGATCAGATGCCGAAACTTGGTCCAGCAACATTTATCAGCAATACAAGATTTTGACCCACACAGTTTCCATTCAATTCAAATATTCTTGTTGCAATGAATCATTTGAAATGCAAAAATACCAGTTGCAGCCTTTAGTTTATTTATATATGTGTACATGTATGATAGATTATCGGGTTTTCTACACATTGATATCGTAAAATATCAACCGAGAGCCACAATGTGAACCTTTTTGGCGAGTGAGCGCAGCGAACGAGAGAAAAGGCTTCACATTGTGTCGAGCGGCAGATATTTAACGATATCTATACGAAGAAAACCCGATTATCTGTTTATCGTTCTATAACTGGACTTTTCCCCCTCCTTAAGACAGTTTTACGCTTGACGAAAGCAAGCTTGATAACGTCTCCTCTCACATTGTGACGTCGCTGATAATGCCTGCTCTCGTCTCAAAGCCGTGATACAAGAATTACGGAGCGACTGAGCAGGGTGATATAGGGGTAGGGAAGGACGATAAATATTAATATATGAAGGGAATCAGGGTCACCAGGTTGTGAAATCCATGTCATCTGAAATAAATATTATGCATAGATCTAGAAATCGACAGATAATAATAACATTTAAAAAAAAATACTCTCTTGTATTCGAAGTTTTTGCAGTTTTGTTTTGTCTAAACAAATCGACACACAAAATGAATATAGTATTGTGGAATTTTTTAACTTAAAATGTTCGATACATTGGTAACACCGGTTACTAGGATAATAATCCTGTCACGTATGAATTGGGTAAAAAGATGGAAATGTGAAAGTTTACGGGCGGTAGGTGCAACAGGATACCGACAGCTCACATGGCTCGTCAGGGTGGGAGCTAAAAAGTGGATCAAAGTCCATGAAAATTTGATTTAAAACCTTTATTCATTCCAACAAATTATTGAGATTTTGTTGAGGATTTTACCATTTACGGCAACAAGACAACTTTCAGAATTTAATGCAAAGAAGGTTTAAAATCTTTCGCAAAAAATACTATCAATTTCTTCTTATCCTATGTTAACCTCCATGCAATCTCCATCCCTTTATGATCAATAAATTGAACTGTAAAATACTACTTAGTATCTTCCACATGCCTTTATAATGTCTGATGTATACATATTTATGACAATAACTGTTGTGAGCACAAGATTCACTGCACAGTTTTAAAGTTTTGCTAAAACAAAAATTTAAATGTAAACTTAAGTTTTGCGAAATTTGTTTGATGTGTACCGATTGAGATTTTAATCTAAGAGAACATGGTTTATCTATTTGTTGAACTAGCTTTCAGTAGCTGCGAGTACTCGTGGTTCAATAATTTGTGTCTTTATGTTATTATTTGGTGTGAAAAGTGTTGTGTTGTTACACCACTGTACCAATGAAGGAGGAAAGGAGGAGGGGTTGGGTGGGGTGTGGAGCGCAAACAAACATGTTAAGCCCTGTCACGCGTGCCCAAAACAAGTGGTTGTCCATGCTTGGTATCTGTCATGTTTGTTTTTTGTTCAAAGTTGTATTTTAGATCAGGCCGAAGGTCTTCATTTTTTAATCGTTCACCGTGATTTTAATAGCTAGTATTCGTTATGGTTTTTGCTCGTTGTTGAAGGTCATACTTTGACTTGCAATTGTTCACATCTTGTTCCATTCTAGTAAGTTTTTACCAGTCATGTATGAAAAGCAAGTATAGGTCGTTTTTTTTTTAATCCAGTCGAAATGTATTGGAGACAGTGTATATATTAAGGAAGAAATTAGAGGCACCAGTAGTAAGATCATCTAACCTCGTATATTTAATTGAAATAAACCAGTCAAACGTTTATTGTCGTTATAATATACATGTCGCTTAATAACCTTAAACACACTTTAAAACTGTTTTAGTTAGCTTATTATGTAGAGAATCATCAATTTAAAGGGCATTTAATATCTTAAATAAAACTATTCTAATTAGATATATTTTCATCTGATATTGGACGGAAGATGTTGCCCTTTTATATAATATAAGTTACGATTATTTGAAAATGCTTATTAAACAGCCAAATGGATGCACAAAAGTAAAAATAGGAGTCACAAATCCGATTGAATACAATTATCTGCCCAATTTTATTGATTCTGTAACGTTTGTTTCAAATATAACCAACTGTTTACCCAAAATCACCAGCACCGTATCAGGACCCACCAGCACAGAATCAGGACATGTCTAAACTGAGAAAATGCACAATTTTAATAAACTGCACAGGTTTTTCACAAAATAATTTTGTCGTGTGGATTTGGGTATAGAAAGCGGACTCCAGGAGCATTTTTGTTTTATTTTTTCAGTTCTAGATTTTCTAAAAATGAGCACTTTTGTGTTACGCTTACTGAAACAGTTTAGAGGGTCACATTTGTAATTGTTTGCCTATGAACCCATAAGAAACGAAATTAAAACATCTCAACTGTTTCCTTCCATTTTTTATGCGAGAAAACGTCAAAATTCGTCATTTTCGTCTTTGTTTACATATTTTTAATGATCACCAGCACAAGTCCGGACCGAATCACCACAGAACGTTCTCTCGCAGGACAACCTTACCCACCGTGATTCTCCACTGAACATTATTAGATGGTGTACAGTAAGGAATGCAAACGCAATGATGATACCTTATAACGATTTCCGACATTGTGTATTGTTTTCTATAGAAATTTCTGTTCAGTACGACGTGCAAGTATATATCAAATCAACGTTGAGAGTTTGAATCATTTCCATGGGCATGAAATTAGCAGTAAAATGGTTTATGTCTTTTCAATGTCCAATCTAATCAAAATACCGATCCTTTATCCAAACATTGCTGACAGAGATCTGAAAACGCCCAGTTCAAGACCTTTCGGGATCCTCTGATTTCGTAGGATTAAAACTTGTCCGAGATCACTATGACATCCAACGGCCCCAGCTTGTCTGGCAAAACAGCCGGTGGACGTCAGAGGAATATCGGACTAGATTAATACACAACTTTTTAACTTTGAAAGCTGAAATTTCATTGGTAGATGTTATAATTACCAGAACAGAAAGAAAAAGTGTTGTCAGAAAGCTTGAACACAAGATCGGTATTTTAATCAGATTGTTCGATGTCCTGTATTGATTAAAAATGCTGTTTAAAAAAAAATAGTTTCATGATTAACGGCGATAAAAATAGTTTCTACAAAGATGTTTTCCATGAATTTTATATTGTTTAAGCACATGCTTGGCGAGTATTTTTCAGTTTATGCCTCATTGTTGCTATTACTATTTACAATTTCAGGTTATTCAACGACGTCTTGATGGAGCAATAGATTTTTACAGAGACTGGGCCGATTACAAAAATGGATTTGGTGATGTTGCTGGCGAATACTGGTTAGGTAATAAACTCATCATTTGTTTGCACCTATCCTACGTCCTGTTTGAATAGTTTTACACTAGACATTTTTGGGCTGTTCGGTGTGGGCCAAGGCTCCGTGTTGAAGGGCGTACTTTGACCTAATGCTTTACGTTTACAAAAAATACTTGGACGGAGAGTTTTCTCATTCGTACTCATGCCACATCTTCTTATATCTACTCATAATTGTTTCTCTTTTTTCGTTTTTTATATATATTAGACCGTTGGTTTCCTGTTTGAATGGTTTTACACTAGTCATTTGGGGTGCTTTATAGCTTGCTGTTCGGTGTGAGCCATAATTCCGAAATGTTTTTCTAAATACAATTAAGGTAATACATTCCTGGTGTAGAACATCCTTGTAGTACTAAAAAAAATTCAGTTTTGTGGTATGACTATGAACTCTTTGGACTACACACTGAGCCAGATTTATGACGTATAAGGTCACAATCAAACAGTCTGTAGAAAGAAATGTCAACGTATTCGGATACATTATTCTTATTCCGAGCCGACTTGTCTTTGGTTTTGCTTCTAAATTCCGGAAACTTTGGGGGAGAAGCAGCACATAGGGCTCATCTTAAAAGTTTTTATTGATCTAACTCGCAACCTCCTGCTATCGCAATGGCATAATTTGACTTTAAACTGACTTTTTATCAAAAACGTGTACTGCGAATTTTCTTTTAAATTATATGTCATTGTCACTAAAATTTCCGTTTTATCTTTATATTATATGTACAAGGGGATACCCAATTCGTTTTTGTTCAATCCTTTCAATGTAAAAGAGGGACGAAAGATACCACATAGAAAAGTAAAGACTAAGCAACACGAACCCCACCAAAAACTGGGGGTGATCTCAGGTGCTCCGGAAGGGTAAGCAGATCCTGCTCGACATGTGGCACTCAAAAATGTTTTATCTAAAACCTTGATTTTCCCGTAGCGTTTTCAGTTTCTTTTTGACTAATTAGTTTTTTGTGTCTCTTTGGTATATTTGTCTTCCGCATTTTTTTAGGTTGAATTTGCTGAACTCCTTTTGCAATATTTATAGATAATCGTTATCGTTGGTAATCTCAACAAGATTGATTTTCTCGCCGGTACGACGAAAGTGAGAAAAGCGATCGAGTTGAGATGACCAATGATAATCTGTTTATCGCTATTTTACCCATGACGACGCTGTTAATTTAATTGACAACGGCACGAGAGCCCTTAGTTTCTAGCGATAATTTTTTATATCAATCTACTTTGCTGAGAAATGAAATAATTAGTCAGTAAGATCAAAGGAAAATTTCACAAAATAGCGATAATAACATAATTATATTGTATGCATTCGTACCTCGGATTTCCGGATATTTAATTTGCTATACATATCGGAAAGCTATTTGTCCATTTTTCAATATTTATTGGTGTCTGTCTGTTGATTCTGGCATTGTGTATCTTATCAACATGTTACATTGAAGAATGAAATATTTGCCGCTGGACACTTGGTAGACAATAATCAAGGAATAGATTCTTAATCCCTAACATCTAATGTTAAATTTCTTTTGTCTGATTATATTTCTTATGTTTGATTTTTTTTTGTTTAATTTCAAAATGCTAGACACAAAGGTTATAACTTGTTTTGCGACTTCTTTGTTATGATAATAATTTTTAAGGTTTAACATATTAGTTTTACTTCGATTTATGTTTGTGCTTCTTTGTGTGTAATTACGTTTCGTTTGTTTAGCTATTGAAGTGGTTTTTTGTCACTGTATACATGTTATATTCATTCAGCAAAAATGTAGTAAAACCATAAACTCCAAAGAAAATCATCGAATTCAAGTTAAGTACATTGAAAACACTTTTTCAATAGTAAACACATGGCATTAGTAACTTATAAACATTTACACGTATCATACAGATATTTTTTTTTAATTTGAGTAGGAATAATAAAAAAAAAAAACAATCCTCATAAAAATAAATTATTTTTATCATCTGAACATGAACATATACAAAGCTATCCGGTGCACTCACTTGCCAAAAACTAACTACATAAGCTATGCGTTTTTCTTAATCGTTGACTTTGATCGACAGGAATGAATTTAACTGACACTGCTGCCTTGCAAAATATATCCCATGAACCTCCAAAAGAAATGTTGCAAGTGTGTCGTAACGTACAGAGAGCGTGGCACTCTCTCTGCATCAGATTTCACGTGACTGTTCTAACCAGACGCAGTCTAAAAAAAAAAACACAAAAAATAACCATACAAAAAACAAAACAAAAACAAACAACAATGAAACAGACATACAAAAACAGAATGATAAACATTTCCTGACTTTCGGAAAATAAATGAAAATATAACATTTTTTTTTATTAAGTCTATGTTTCAACTGAAAGAATGAACAAGATCATGGTGTTCATGAAAAATGGCAGCTTTAATAAGATTTTCGATGTCAATAAATTAGAAACAATTTGATTTAATGACAAAAAAATGTTATTTCATGTTTTGTTTAGATAGTGCGTTCTATTATTAGAATAAAAACAAGTCAAAGATATTTTAACATCCATTGTTTTATTACCTAAGATAAATGGGGAATGTGTCCATGGGGCACAGATGATGCCCCGCTTGCACATAAATATAACGTTATAAAGGGACATAACTCAAGAACTTAATTAAATTGACACTACCCAAATTTCTAAGTTTTGTGGTGATAAGATTGATTGATTGTTTGTTGGTTGCTTAACGTCCAGTGGTAAATATTTCATGCATATTCAGGACGAGAACAAATTAACAATAAATACAATAGGTAGGTTCTGTAATAGGGGCGTCCGGGATTAAGGTCGGAGAAATTTAGACTGCCACGGGAAACGAGGGTATATTGGATAGGGACAGAAATTTAGCCTTGCAACAGGTCACCTACGGACCCCTCAAAGAGTTGTTGCAAGGGTTCCTAACGTGCAAAGAGCGTGGCACTCTCTTCACACGAGGCATCGGATTTAACGTCCGCATTCTGACCGGACGTGGCTGCAAATTTGTACATCCCGCACAGCCAAACGGACGCCCCACTTTAGCAAGGGTTTTACTGCCGGTCGGAGGAAGACCAATGGTGACCATACTTCTATTCCCCAGTCACCCTTGGGGGTTTGTGGTAATAAGCATTGTTTATGAGTTTCATAACATTTAATTGCAGCAAACTTAAGTTAGAGAACAGAAACAAATAGTTAAGCAATTTATCCATTTATTCAGGGGCATAGCTCTAGAACAGTAAAATTGACGCTACCATAATTCAAACTTGATCTGTGTTTTGTGATAATAAGCATTGTGTGTAAGTTTTATAACATTTAGTTGGAACAAACTTAAGGTAGAGAACGGAAACGAAGAATTGACAAAATTTTCATTAGTAAAGGGACATAACTCTAGAACGGTTGAAGTGACAACACCAAAATTCAAACTTGATCTATGTTTTGTGGTAATAAGCATTGTGTATAAGTTTCATAACATTTGGTTGAGGCAAACGAAAGTTCGAGAACGGAGACTATTTTTAGGACGCATGTAAGAACAGACGGACAACGGTAAAACTTAAATTTAATGCCACCTCCGCGACGGCGCGGGCAGAAACATTAAAAAAACAACTTAACGTTTTATCGAGAACCAAAAATTCCATTTTTTCTTTATTGAAAAATAGTAAAGAAATTCGCATAATTTAAATACAATACTATTCTTCCTGATTATTTTAAACATTAAATCTGGTTAACTATATCCGTACATGTCTAATTTCACGGTATTTTTGTTTTTCTGAAGGTAATGACAATATCCATACGATTGTATCAAGGAGACCATACACTCTTAGAATTGACCTTGAGAATTTTTCAGGCGAGACACGTTACGCCGAGTACACAACTTTCCAAGTTGGGGATGAAAGTAGCAACTATCTCCTGAATATAGGAGGATACAGCGGAACTGCAGGTACGGGTAAAATGAAACAAAGACAGTTATCTCCCTTGTAACATACGGGTATCTGAGTCAAACAGATAAAGGACATGGTACCAGTCTAAAATAAAAAAATATCACTTATAATTTAGTACGTCTGAGGCGATATTTTAGATAAACCTTGAAGGGATCAGGAACGATCATACCGATAACTTTGATTGATTGATTTGTGTTTAACACTACTGTCAGCACTACTAGTTGGCTATTTTGTAGGGGTCAGTTTTTATTTGTGAAGGAAGCCGGAGTGCCTGGAGAAAATTAACGACTTTCTGAAGGAAAACTGAAGGTGAACGAACCTGCCCCGTGCGGGATTCGAACTAACAACATCAGTGGAAACATGCTACTGATACAGTAGTTGGGACTTCTTAGACCACTCAGCAACCGATGCTCCCTTCACGTTTGAAAAGCCAAGTTTTTTTAATATGTATAAACAAAAGAATCGAGTTAAGTGGCAAAACAGGGCATAAAACGAATAGCGAAATTCATCTAAATAGATACAAGTTTTTTTTTTATTCGAGTGTCACTGATGAGTCTTTTGCAGACGAAACGCGCGTCTGGCATAAATACAAAATTTAATCCTGGTGTCTATGATGAGTTTATTTACAACCACTGGGTCGTTACCACTGCTGATGGGGTTTTAATTCCCCGAGGGTATCACCAGCCCAGCAATCAGCACTTCTGTGCTGACATAAATTATCATTGATATGGTCATATTTATAAATTAACTGTTTACAAAACTTTTGAAATTTTGAAATACTAAGGCTTTTCTACCTCAGGAATAAATGACCTTAGCTGTTTTTGGCAAAACTTTTAGGAATTTTGGTCATCAATGCTCTTCAACTTCATACTTCATTTGGCCGTTTTAATTTTTTTGGATTTGAGCGTCACTGATGAGTCTTTTGCAGACGAAACGCGCGTCTGGCGTAAATACAAAATTTAATCCTGGTATCTATGACGAGTTTACGTGATGTGTGTGCCAATGAAACAACTCTCCATCCAAGTCATAATTTGTAAAAGTAAACCATTGTATGTCAAAGTACCGTCTTCAATACACAGCTTTGGTTCACATCGTACAGCAAGCTATTTAGGGCTCCGAAAAAAAAAAATAGCTCGTGTAAAACCATTCAAACGGGAAAACCAACGGTCTAATCTATATAAAAAGTCAACTTTACCTGATCGAGTTGAGACCTTAGTTTCTTATTAATTTATCAATTTATCAACAGGGAATTGTAGAAAAGTATTTGATACATATTGTCAGTAAAAATATTGATTGATTGATTGTTGGTTGCTTAACGTCCAGTGGCAAATATGTCATGCATATTCAGGACGAGAACAAATTAACAATAAATTCAATAGGTAGGTTCTGTAATAGGGGCGTCAGGGATTAAGGTCGGAGGATATATTGGATAGAGACAGAAATTTAGCCGTGCATCAGGTCACCTACGGACCCCTCAAAGAGTTGTTGCAAGGGTTCTTAATGTGCAAAGAACGTGACACTCTCTTTACACGAGGCATTGGATTTAACGTCCCCATTCTGACTGGACGTGGCTGCAAATTTGTACATCCCGCACAGCCAAACTGACACCCCACTTTAGCAAGGGTTTTACTGCCGGTCGGAGGAAGACCAATGGTGACCATACTTCTATTCCCCAGTCACCCTTGGGTGGTCAGTAAAAATACACGGACTTCTAAGCAGGTTATACCCTCGTGCACTTATTGGTATCGACACAATGCTAGCTAATGAAAATGACACTTTATAAATATCGGGTTTTCACATCTGAATCATTTCACTATATGTTCATAAGGGAGTTTAAATTGACTCAAATTGATTAAAAACATGTTGTTTGGTATGGGCTTTACTAATTGTTGAAGGCCGTACGGTGACCTATAGTTGTTAATTTGTGTTATTTGGTCTCTTGTGGAGAGTTGTCGTATTGGCAATCATACCACATCTTCTTTTTTTTTATATATATTGTTGCATCCATGGACTGAAAATAACCTTTTTTTATATTACCGACTTTTGACTTCGGAATTAGTAATCTTTCAACAGTTTAAATAATCTGTGAGAGGATATGCTTGACCTCTGTGAAGTATATAGAGCAGGTTACGGGAGTAGTCAAGATTACTATTGTTGCAATATTGGTACAAAAGTACAACTGTTGTATGTTTCTTTTCACGTGAAAATAATCGAAAACAGTTAATTGTTTCCACAAATTGCATCGTTTCTTAGCTTCATTTTACGTATGTTACTTGATGGAGTAGCATAAGTTCTATACACATACCACATAGTAATTATTTGTCTTCTACATATGAAATAGAGGACAAGAAATACCGGAAAGACATTTAAACTCACAAGTCGAAAATATAAAAGATTCATCAGTAGCACTCGAAAATCGGCTTGAAAAGTATTGTAAACCCGCTGCATTTGTTTGCGCCTGTTCAATTCAGAAACCTATTGTTCAATGGCTGTCGTTTGTTGATGAGGTTCATAAGTGTTTCTCTTTTTTTATATAGATTAGACCGTTAATTTTCCAGTTTAAATGGTTTTACATTAATCATTTAGGGGCCTTGTATAGCTTACTGTTCAATTTTAGCCAAGACTCCGTGTTGAAGGCCTTACTTTGACCTATAATGGTTTACTTTTAAAAATGTGACTTTGATGGAGATTTGTCTCATTGGCACTAATACCACATCTTCTTATCTATAAAAAAAGTTATTCCAAAAGCTCCTTCTGGTGTTGTAAACCATTTGTGTTTTGAATAGTACGAACACGTTCAAATGATTCATTTATTTGTATGCAACTAAAATGCCTTAACTAATATTTTAATATTTTAAGGTGATTTAATGGATCACAGTAATGGTTACGGGTTCAGTACGACTGATAGAGACAATGATGGTCATTCTGGTGGAGTGTGCACCGAGATGAGACATGGCTGTTTTTGGTATGACTATTGTACCATGGCAAATCTGAATGGGGTATACTATCCAGGAGGAAATGTTGGATCCAATCAAAACGATATTTTCGTTTGGAGTTGGGTCTTTGGACATACCAATCCAATGAAGACAGTTGTTATGAAAATAAAATAAAAATTAGATGAAAATTAAATGAAAATAGAATTGAAGTAATCTGTGAATGATGACACTGTTTCGGATTTAGTGTAACATCGTCACATTATTTTCAAAAATGTGTTTGCTTCAAAATGTTATAGTTATCAGTTATTCAAAGTTAACAGTAGACTGTCCATCAAAATTATTACATGTATGAGGGATATAATCGTTGTTTGGCTAAGTAATGTTTATTTATATAATTTACTTCTATTTTTGGTTTTTTAATCAAGGTAGGCATTTTAAAACAAGTTTTGACTTTAGTTTGTGTTTAAAACAATGAGTGTGAACATGTAAATTGAAATACCAAAAAACTTTGTATACGTATGCTGTCCTTATGAAAACAAATAGTCGCATTGGTTTAATTAAACTTACATCTTTTGAGAGTTAACTTTATTTTTTACTAAGACTTATGTAAGCTAGTGATTTCAAAATACGTCATTGATTAGCACATTTTTGTTAAATGCCAGCTGAAGCCAGCCTCCGGGTGCGCTTTTTTTTGCTTTGTTGAAGACCCTTTGGTGGCCTTGGACTGCCCTATGGTTGGGTTGTTGTCTTTTTGACACTTTCCCCATTTCCAAATTCAATTTTAGTATTTCTATAGAAGTATAAAAACACGAGTTTGTAAACATGACAACAAACTGTTTTTTTATTACATCAGGAACATTTAATAAGTGACAGGGTAGTAAGGGTATCTACACAGGATTGATTGCTGCTTGATTTACGTCCAGTAGCAATTCGTTCATAAAATTGAGAATGGAAATGACGAATGCGTCAAAGAGACAACGACCCGACCTAATATGTACTAGTTCAGTTTTAATAGACATCATACTAAATATATAAAAGAAAATTAAAAACCATATAAGACTAACAAGGCAAGAGGCTCCTGACTTGGGACAGGCGCAAATATGTGGCGGGGCTAAACATGTTTATGTTCAAGACGAGAACAAATTAACAATTTAAATAAAAATGAGAATGGAAATTGGGAATATGTCAATGAGACAACAACCCTACAAAAGAGCAGACAACAGCCGAAGGCCACCAATGGGTCTTCAACACAGTGAGAACATCCCGCAACCGGAGATGGTCCTCAGCTGGCCCCTAAATAAAATTGTGTACAAGTTCAGTGAAAATCAATGTCATACTAAACTCCAAAACATATAAATGAAATAAAATAAAAAAAAAAAACATACAAGACTAAAAAGGGTAGAGACTCCCGACTTGGGACAGGCGCAAAAATGCGGCGGGTATAAACATGTTTTGTAATCTCTCAACCCTCCCAGCTACCACGGGGTGTATTGAAGAGAAATGTAGGATCGCTACAGATCGCATTAACATCAAAATTGTTGCAGGCTTACTAAATAGTTGTATAAGATATTTCATTGTTGATTGGTTTTGAAATGTTACGGAGTGGTTATGAATTTGCTGTTTTCTTATGCGAGTCTCGTGTAAATTTACAACAGTTGCCGGTACATTTTTCTTTTAATACCAAGCCGAAATCGCACACTGAAGGAAAAAGAGTAATACTTGATTGGTACATTTCCATCACTTATCATTTAAAATATATATAGTATAGTGCGATAGTTTATCCTTTGCCAATACATTTGCAGCGGCCATATGATATTTTATACTTTGTCAATATTCACACAGAGTCCATGTGATTTTTTATTCTTTGTCAATACTCGTGCAGCGGCCATGCAATATCGCAAACTTTGTCAATACTCTTGCAGCAACCGTGCACTATTGCTTCTTTTGTCAATACTCCTGCTACTTTTGATTTTCTGTCAGTACTCAATCAGCGGCCATGTGATAGTTTCCCTGACACTTTTATCTGAGACATTACCTCCTTTACACCTCATCATAACATAAGGTACTTAAATCGCATTATTGAAAAAAAATATCATCCGGTGGCGAACTTCCGTTATATTGCAATTTCTTTGTTGTCAACCCAACCCCCCTAAAAAAATAATGTCGAAAATTTAAATTGATTTATCTACAGAATAGTGTCAGACACAACCAACTTTGTTGTCGGAATTATTCGTAGCAGGCCTCCCACGCAGGTCAACGTAATTGTTTTTGTATACCAACAACCGATTGGAAAAATAAGATTCGTAGTGAATATTCAAATTAGATATCTTGGTTTCTGATTGGTCAATTAGCTGGCTAAAAATAAATGTGTGAAGATTTGGTCATTTTTTTTTTAAATCCACCTTTGTTTCTACATGTCTAACGTTGTGTACACGTGCATAGAACGCCATGACGGTCTTCTGATGTTGATTGTTTAATATGTTCGGTGCTTTATGTTCAGTAGTATTTCTATTATGTTCAGTAGTTTTCATATTATGTTCAATAGTTTTGACATTATGTTAAGTAGTTTTTACATTATATTCGGTGCTTTGGTTATCATGTTCAGTAGTTCATGGTTATATACCGTGATAATTAAATTATGTTCGGTACTTCTGACGTTATATTCAGTGGATTTTCATTATGTTCAGTACTTTCGACATTATGTTCAGTAGATTCAATATTATTTGCAGTACATTATGTATTACCTTCAGTGGTCCCGTTTTCTTTATATTCGGTGGATTATTCATTATGTTCAGTAAAAGCATCAGTATTATACTCGGCTCAATGAACTTTATGTTCAGTGGTTGTATCATTATGATGATGTAGTAAAAGTCGGGAAATCAATAACGGAAATTGTCGAAAACAAGAATGCACACGCTGAACTGTTCGCCTTCCTTACTAACCATTGATATTATGTTGATAGTCCTAAATATAAAGCTTCACTACAACTATCACATAAACTTAATATGATCCAAGAAATGAGGTCAAAGTCATATAAATCTAACGAGAAATACATGTACACCTTGCAATCATTCAATACACTAAATATCGTTGACCAATTGCTTATCATACTTATAGTTTCTAAGAAACAGAGTTATCAAATAAAAATAAACATTGACCAATGAACCATGAAAATCAGGTCAAGGTCAAATGAACCATGCCAGGCAGACATGTACAGCTAACGACCCTTTCATACAACTTATATAATTGACATATTATTTATAGTTCAAGAAAAATAGACCAAAACACAAAAACTTAACACTGAGCAATGAATCGTGAAAATGAGGTCAAGATGAAATAAAACCTGCGAGACTGACATGTACATCATAAAAGAGGGACGAAAGATACCAGAGGGACAGTCAAATTCATAGATCATAAAATATTTCCATACGCCAAATATAGTTGACGTACTAGTATTGCATATAGTATTAGAAAAAAGACCTAAACTCAAAAACTTAACTTTGACCACTGAACCATGAAAATGAGGTCAAGGTCAGATAACACTGCCAGTTGGACATGTACACCTTACAATCATTCAATACACCAAATATAGTAGACCTATTGCATACAGTATAGAAAACCCAGACCAAAACACAAACACTTAACTAAAACCACTGAACCATAAAAATGAGGTCAAGGTCAGATGACATCTGCCAGTTGGACCCGTACACCATACAATCCTTCCATACACCAAATATAGTACACCTATTGCATATAGTATCTGATATATGGACTTGACCACCAAAACTAAACCTTGTTCACTGATCCATTCAATGAGGTCGAGGTCAAGTGAAAACTGTCTGACGAGCACGAGAATCTTTCAAGGTACGCACATACCAAATATAGTTATCCTAATAAGAGAGAAATTATCTTTTTTTTAAGTAGTCACTGAACCATGAAAATGAGGTCAAGGACAATGGACATGTGACAGATGGAAACTACGGTACATAAGGCATCTATATGCAAAGTATGAAGCATAAAATATATAGCTTTTAAGAAGTTAATTAACGCCGCCGCCGGATCACTATCCCCATGTCGAGCTTTCTGCGACTCGACAAAAAAAGAACGCAGATATTTTTGACGGACGTTTTCCTCCTGGAAACCGACATGCAACAAAATATCGTCTGCTAGATTAAGAGTATCACTGTACATATTAGATTTAGGTACACCAGAAGACAGCCACGGCGTTCCATACCACAATGAATATTAAACAAATTACAGCATTGGACGTGGTTGAACATGGCCATAACCGATTGATTTTAGACCAGAGTGGAACAGGGAATAGCCATTTGGTTTGTGAAATTGAACAAGTACTAAAAAAGGGGAACGGTAGCAGTCACTGGAACAACAGGAGTGGCTTCCTTAAATATAGGTGTGATTAATGTACATTTCTGGTCAGGAATAGCTGATCGTCATTTTTGAAACGATAAATTCTGGCAAAAGTTGACTGACAAATAATTTCAAAAATATAAATTGAACATACAGCAAACAAATGTTTAGATTTTAGATGAAAATTAAATGCTTTCAGCTGAACTTTTTAACCAGATTTAATATGTCTGTAGGACAATCAGGGTAAAGATGAATATTTTAGAGGTATTCAAGTAATTGGATCAGGAATTTTTTTCAGATCCCCGTAGTTCCATATTTACTCAACCAGGACCCTGGTGACTTGTTTCAAGTTTGATGTTTAAAAAAATATATTTAGACACAAAACAGTCATTGATGAAGTTATGCGTCAGGATGAATATGATTTTATACAGGTCACACATAACATTTTACGAGGATATCTACCAACTGATATACGTAATTTATTAACACGTCTTCAAATGCCACTTCTTCGTCCCCGAGGGTATCACCAGCCCAGTAGTCAGCACTTCGGTGTTGACATGAATATAAATTATATGGTCTTTTTTTTTATAAATTTCTTGTTTACAAAACTATGAATTTTTCGAAAAACTAAGGATTTTCTTTTCCCAAACAAAAATTACCTTAGCCGTATTTGGCACAACTTCTTGGAATTTTGGGTCCTCTATGCTCTTCAACTTTGTACTTGTTTGGCTTTATAACTATTTTGATCTGAGCGTCACTGATGAGTCCTATGTAGACGAAACGCGCGTCTGGCGTATTAAATTATAATCCTGGTACCTTTGATAACTATTCTTCCTGGCAATGACCCTATACGACTATTTGCTAGGAATTTTGGCAGAAAAATGTACAATGCATCTCGACTTCAAGACCTCGAAGGTGACTTAAAACATTTCATTTTCTTGATTAAAGAGATCCAACAAAATAAAGGAAAATGCCTGTTGGTCTGGCTTTGCATTTAAAGATAAATTGTTACTTATGTAACGTGTAACGGGCGATCAATGGATCCGTATCTGAATAAATCAGGATTTCAAGTGTTAAACACAAATTTGCACCACAGCCAGTTGTCCTATTCAAAACAATTAACACATCCTTAAATGGATTCACAACGCAAAATATACACACAGCACAATGTACATAAATCAAAATGCAAGGTGAATATCTCATTCACAAT